CGGAATACACCGTGTTGTATTTTATATATACACAGTTCAGCTACACCAGAGGATGGAAATGAAAATATCTATTCATTTATTCATCTGAATAATCAATGATCAAATATATTATACATACATACAATGGTCTATCATATTATACATGTGAACAGCAAATAAATCATTATTCTACAAATGACCTGACAATCATGTTTTTCAATATTTATATGTTGTAATATTAAATAAAATCCAATCTATTAATATACCGGTATGTATTTCTTTCTTTTCTTTCATTACAAATGTATTTTTACTACATGGATCTTGTTTTATTGACATCACCTTTTATTTATATATGTGAGGAGAGGACCTAGATAAGTATGTTTTGCTTTAGTTCTGCCCAATCCTCAAAAAAATACATGTAAGATAAATAATGTTTTCTATGAATATAAATTTCCTATTGGCCCCTTGTTGCATTACTGAGTTCATCAACACTTAATTCATTAAGTGATAGGATAGGAAAGTTGGAAAGGGAGTCAGCCTGCATTTGCTGGCAAATACCATCAGGATGTGCTGTATGTACACCATGTATTAAAATGTATCAGGATGCAAAAGTTCATTGGCATTATGTTGTATCTTTTGAAGCAATTCTCATTTTGTATTCTACTCATACCCCCTTAAATGCACTTAATAAATGATTATTATTATTATTTTTCCCTTCTTACGATATTTTTTTGGAAATTTGGAGAGTTCATGCTGTTTTATCAGCAAATAGTTCATGGCCATGTGACCAGCAAACTGCCCAGAACCAAATATAGAATGATCCTGTGGACATTTGGCATAAGCCTCTGTCATTGATAGATAGCTGTTGGGCAGGTTCAAAACACCATGTTGGATTTCTGTTTAACCAAAAAAAAAATCTTGGATCAATCAACTCCTACCAGCTTTTACCATAGAGAGAAAAGATATTTAGGCCACAGCAAGGAATTTTTATGGATGACATCAGCGCGCGCATTAATTTTTGCCTGATTTTGGAAAAAAAACAAGACATTTTGTTGCCTTCTGACAGTGGTCAACATGCCGAAAATGGGCAAAGATGTCTGCTGCCATGCCAGAAGGTGGATTGTAGATAACTATGAAGAGAGGAGACAAGAAAATGCCCAGATTTAATGTTTTGTTTCTTCCTTTGAATCTTTGATGCAGTGATATGTGATGTGATGTGATACAGTATGTGATGTTCCCATTGAATCAATGATTCAGTCAAAACTTTAAAATGTAGGAACCTTGTTTTTTTTGGCCCGCCTTGTTTTTTTTCGCCCGCTCGCATTAGATTTGGAGTCTGTGGAAGATGTCATCCATAGAATTTACTTGCTGTGGCCTAAAGCAGATCTATGGTCAAGATAGTGACTCTGAATTCAGATTAAAACTTGCTATTAACTCCCATCTCAAATCCCTTCAAAATACTGTAGTCATGTTTGCAGGGATGTAATTTTGCTGTAGGAGAAGTGTTCGCAATTGAAAAACTATTGCAATGCAAGACAGAGCACAGGGCATCACAATTTTGCGGCAGAGAGACAACCGCGAAAATAAAACCACTATGCATTTGAATATTTCAATTGCGGTATCCCTGCTAAGATCTGGCATGTACATGTACAGTAATCTATATAATAATGGTGTAAACAGAAGCCTCCTGTAGTACACAAAATTACCATATAGTGACTGGAGTAAACAATTTTTCCATGGATTGGTCATGGTTGTCAGCCAAGTCATACCATATAACTTATAAGGTCAATAACCCATTGGCATATACACAATCCTGACTGTAGCTCAGTCCTAGACTTTCTTGCTTCCCACCTGATGCTTCCCAGCAGGACTATTGTTGAAAGGAAATCATACACCTTCACCAAAGACATTTTGGTGCGAACTAGAAAGCCAACATTTGCGAGCAAATGCACAATATTTCCCTCCATTCCTGTAACATGGAGCATGCTTGTCTCTGAGAGCTGAACATTTGTAATTTTTCAATCAAAATCTGTGGCTGCAATTCAATGATTACCCAAATGACCAAATACTTTGTGGTCAGCTGCATAGAGACTTAAGTTTTGTATCTATTATGTGACCCATAAATAGTCTCTACTCTCCGATTTCATACCAACAGGTGCATGGGCAACATGTTTTTTGTTCTCACGGACAAGATGGATGACACTGACACCACCACCTGTCCAAACTGATGTCAAACGATTCTTTTGCGGGAGGCAATACCAATTGTATTTCTCAAGACTGCAATTTTTGCATGAAATTAATGTACCAGGCAGGCAAAAAAGGGCATCCTTCAGTTAACTGAGTACTTTAAATTGGTTGGATCTGTGAACCGGGAAAGAAAACCTCTTTATTCTTCAGTGAGACCATACCACTTCCTAATTTCTGACCTGTTTGAATAAAAATGAAGCAAGGGTTCAAGATGAAAGCAGAGAGCTGGGAGAAAAACATCACCATCGCAGCACTACGGACAACTAACTTATAATATTTCCTACAGATTACAAGGGAAAGGGAGGATTTTGCGGTGGCTTAAATTTGCAGTTGAAACAACTCTGTAGGACAGAAGTAGTACATTGGAAATAAATATTTGCAAAGTCATGAAAAGCAAAAGTTTAAGAAGTTGCAGTATATTATTATGGTACGATCAGGTACTTAGAACATTTCTATCAACATTTTCAAATTCTGCTGTCTAAGACTTTCTGAACTGCTTGCACAATTGATATGGTGATCAGTTCTAAAATAGAACCAATTTTTTCAAAGATACACACACGCATCATACATATGCAGGCATGATTTAGCTATAGATGTCTGGCCTGTCTGACTTTTGGTGGGTGGATCCAGGCAATAGAATTGTTAATGTTATTCATGCAGGTAACACTATGGAAGAAATGCATCTGGGCAAATTCAGCTGCTTCAGAGGAGGTTCATTAATACATGTACCTTTATGGTTGGAGTGCATGATCCCTCTGGCAAATCTTACTTTACCTTCACCTTGTCCCATCATCAAGTCTTACTATTACTACATGTAGAGTAATAGGCAAATAGCCAATAACACTGCTAAACTGCCAAAATAATAACTCATATTATCATAAAGCCAGAAGAGGTAGACCAATCAGAAGTCCCCATTTCATATAGCCACACCAGTGGTAAATAATATCTCACAAGTGGTGAGGTTAAATTCATGAACACCCCGGCCGATAGGGTCGACCGATTCAAGGCACCCTGGGTTCAATGAATCGGTGGTTACATGTATACAGGAAACCAGGCCTTATTACCTTCGCCAAGAATTGGAGAAGGTTATGTTTTCCTGGCCGTGTGTCTGTGTGTGTGTCTGTGTGTCTGTCAACAGCATAACTCGAGAAAGCTTAGATGGATTATCTTGATATTTGGTAGGTGGGTAGGTCTTGATGAGAGCTCGAACTGATTAGATTTTGGGCCCCCTGGCGGCTTGTCATGGTACTGCAGCTGAACTTCCGGTTTTGATATCTCATGATCCAGACATGCTAGGGTGACGAAATTTGGATGGCAGGTAGCTCGTGTGCTGGGAAAGAAGTGACGTGAGTTTGGGCCCCCTAGTTGCTTGCTCTAGAACTGCAGGGGGGTTTAAAGGACAAATGTTTAAAGGAGGATAACTCAAGAACCGATTAATGGATCATCATGATTTTTGGTATGTAGGTAGCTTGAGTAATGCTTGACATAATGATATTACAATTATGCAAATATGGATGTAATTTGCATAATTAATGAGGAAGTTCTATTAATCAGCTGTATTCCATGATAGGAAGTTCAAGCTTGCGACATATGTTATTAACAACGAGAGAAACACAGGCAGATATCGATTATGCAAATGAAGACTTGATTTGCATAATTAATGAGAAAATGTTATAATTGTATAGTGGTAACTGCCTGGAATTTTATACTTGGGGTGTTTGAAGTTTAGTGAAGGTGAACATAATTTAACATAACTTATTCAAATAAGGACCTCATTTTGCATAATATATGAGGAAATGCTATAATGGCATTCTTTGTTAAAATAAGACTTGGTGGAGATTATTATCAACAGATATAATTCATGCAATTGCAGATCCTATTTGCATAATCAGGGGGATTAATACATTGTAAGTTCTTATTCATGATAAAAGTGAAAGAAATCCCCAGGTTAAAATAAATAAAATTCATAAAAGCTAACATCATTTGGCGAAGGTATGAGATCGTGGAACTCTAGTTACACCATACATATATCTTGGGGCAGGTCATTATTAAGTTGATGGACCATACTTAGCCGTGGTGTTACAAATGTACCAGCCTCCAAAAAAGGAAGAAGAGAATTTCAAACTTAACCCTTCAAAATACCTGCTTGTACAGAGGTTTTGTTTTGGTGTGAATGTTTCTTTATGTTGCTTGTGTTTCAGTAATCGTTTCCACATTGTAGGCATGAAGGGACACTGACAGGAAGTTATGTCAAAGGTCCCAGAAAAGGTTATCTCATTTCTTATCTTCAATTTCCTACTCCATGCATGTCTGTAGCTTTATGGGAGCCAGGGGGAAAATGCATAGAATGAGTGAGGAATTCACAAAAACTCCCAAACATTTCACGGAGGTATGAAATATTTGAT